ATATTATTAATAATGAACTTGTAATGTTTAATGAACAAACCTGCTCTGTGTAACCGAAGCTGAGGGTTGAAAACAGCGTCCAGTAGTTTCCGTTGTCGCTCGTTCTCCTCTTTTGATCGACAAAGTTCCTCCTCGTACTCTGCTATCGTTCTTTCAAACAGCCCAAATATCTCTCCATCAGCCGCAGTTAGTCGCTGCTTCAACAACGATCTCAGCATTTGGACTTTAGACATTTTCACACTTTAACAGTAGTGAGCGTTTAAATACGAACTCTTCCAAGTGTGCTGTTTTAAGCTGAATGTCTAGAGGCGTTTGAGCTCGTGATGTTGCGCGCTGTGCCGATGCTTCCAAGCGTGTGTCGAGTAATCCAGGAAGTGCTTCCGCGATGCGCGGGTTTTTTCTTCTTCTTCTACTGTTTATTGGCGGTTGGCAAATAACGAATTGGTGCATTACCGCCACCAACTGGAATGGAGTGTGGCTGAATGACTATTACGCCCTCTTAAAAAAAGAAAAAAAGAAATTATATCCTCTCCACCGAATTACTCATTCTTAGAAAATGAAAACTGAATCCATACCACTTATTTCCTGAGTTCTGTTGCAGAATATCCATGATATCAAATGGTACCTTATTGTTTCTAAGATTGTTAATAGAATTCTGTCAATCTGTTTCATACCCCCGACAATGTAATATAACATGTTCTATTGTTTCTAGTTGGCCACAGTAATCACACTCCCCTGTATTATGTTTACCTATTTTGAATAATGTATAGTTAAGCGAAGTATGGCCAAACCTGAGTCTTGATATTATTGATTCCTCTCTTCTGTTCCTTCCTGCATATCTCATCTCTCCAACTTTCCTTTGCATCCTATAAAACCATCTCCCATTTCCACCTGTAATGCTGCTGTTGGAGTTGTTTTAAATGCACCTGTACATAACCTCAATGTCTCTCCAATTCTTGCTTATACAGTTTTAGTTTTACTGTACTACCAATTTGTTTCCTGGTAAAAAAAAAACAAAAAAAAACATTGTCTTTGTCTTGTCAAGTGAAAATTTAAATCCCCATTTATATGACTGTTCTTCTATTTTTATGATAGCACCCTGCAGTTTTCTTACAATGAATTCCAGATTTCTTCCCCTCTTCCAAATTGCTCTGTCATCGGCAAAAAGTGAAACCCCCATCTCATTCTCTAATCCCATAAACACATCATTTATCATTATGGAGAACAGTAAGGGGCTTACTATGCTTCCTTGAGGTGTTCCATTTTCAATAACCACTTTTTCCTGAGTATTTCTTTCCTATTCTTACTTGTATAAATCTTCCAAATTAAAAGTAAAAAGTCCTTAATCCATCTATATATCCAACCTTTAATACCTAATTTCCAAAGTTTTATTAATAATCCTTCTCCCCACATCACATCATACGCCTTCTCTACATCAAAAAACACAGCCACTACACTTTGGTTGGTTTATCTGTGCCTTTCTAAGCTCGTGTTCTAAACATACAGCTGGATCCATAGTATTTCTCCCTTTTCTAAAACCACTCTGATATTTCAACAAAAATCCTTTACTTTCTATAGAATATGTTAACCTGTCATTTGTCATTTTCCCCATTATTTTACAGATGTTGGATGTTAAAGCAATTGGTTGATATTTTCCTTGATTTGTGCAATCTTTCCCTGGTTTGCGTATTGGAACTACAACAGCCTCCTTCCAACTTTGTGGTAATTTTCCAACCTCCCAAACTTAATTATATAGTTCCAGTAAAATATCCTTAGATGATTTACGAAGATGTTTTAACATTTTGTAACAAATCTGATCCTTGCCTGGCGCTGACATCTTGGTTTTGTTGAGAGCGCTGTGTAGTTCTGTCTTTCTAAATGACTTGTTTAGTGAGTCATTGGTGTCTTCCTCACACTGTCACAGCTCTTCATTCTCTGCTGTCGTAGTTTCCCTTCATCGCTAATATTTTCCGAACTGTGAATCTTAACAAACATCTTTGCCATCATCTCAGCTTTCTCTTTATCTTTCACTGCTGTTGTTTCTCTTTTAATCCCATTCATTCTTATCATTCTCAAAATTTTCCCAATTTCTGTCTCCCTTCCCACTGAGTTACAAAGTCTCCTACAAAATTCCTTCTTTGCATGTTTTATGACTCTCCTTACATTTGCTTGCAGTCGCTTACATTCAGTGAGATTCTGAAAACTGTTTTTTCTTTTCAACATTTTCACAGCTTTATTTCGAGACTCAATTGCTTCATCACACTCCTTTGTCCACCATGGGACAATCTTCTTTATGTGCTTACCTCCCTTCTTCTGAATGGACTTCTCTGCAGCCTCTAAAATAGCTTCACAAACAGAAAGATTTGAATTATCAACATCATTAATAGCAATTTTCTGCATTTCTTGATCACAAATATACCAACACATATCAGCACTACTAAAAGCCCATTTCTGGGATCCCTGATTATCATATTCTTCGACTCTCAATCCTACTACAGTGATAATAGGATAGTGGTCACTGCACAGTCGTGTCTCTGATCACTTCCCATGAACAAACAACTGCCAATGAATCTGACACAAGTGTAAGATCTATAGCTGAATCTGAGCCCGTTCTGATATTAATTCTTGTACCACTCCCATCATTTAAGCAGACTAAATTTTTACTCTCCATTAATTCCTCAATCACCGTACCATTATCATCATTACAGCTACCCCATACTGTGCTCAATTTCCCCTTGGCAAGAAATTTCAAGAAAATAGCAAAACGTAACAAGAGCTGAAAACATGACAAAGAAAAGAAAGAGGAGGGAAAATTTCGACAATTATCATAAAACTAGGAAATGAGCAATGGTGCTCATTACCTTTGTTGTGTGTTCTCGAAAGGAATCAGACCAATTTGCTCAGGTTTTAAAGGGTTAAGGTCCACAGATATTCATACAGACATAGGGCCTTTCCAATTTTACAGCATTTCACACATTTTTTAACACAGAATGATCTCATTTAGAAATGCAGGAAAAAATGGGGCTAGTTTTCTAAAAAAAAAAATTGTAAATATAATTTTTATTGGCAAAATAATTAAATTATTTATCTCAAACTCTGCTTTCTTGTCCTCCAGTTGGATACCAACCTTTATATTTCCATAATTTACAGTCACAATATTTTGATGACTATAAGTCAACCAATATTGAAAAAAGTCAATTACAAGAGAAGAAAAGATGTTTCAATGTCTGAGATACAGAAAGTGCAAATATTCAAATCCATATTAAACCTTTCATGTAATAAATCGTTATGTGTGTAAATTTAAGGTGAACGGGAAATTTTGGTTTATTTCAACCCGTCTCCTATCTTCCTAAATTTGGTTCAAGTGACTAGTGACATACAGATAATAGTTAGCATGTTAGCCATTAGCCTAGATACAGCCAAAGCGTCAGACCTGTTAAAACGTAAGAGAACGGGCAACCTTCAAGTGCAAAGTTAGTCCACTAAACAAGCTTTTTTCCACAAAGACCGCCTCATATCGTTAGGATAAATGTCAGAGAACATATAGAAAACGACACGTAAACGTGTTGTCTTACCTTACCGGTGTGCTGCCATGTTTGTTTATAATGTAACTCTGCTTTCAAAAGCGCGGCCGAAATATCACGAGAACGAGCAGCGATCTCATAGCGTGCCTGAACAAGCAGCAACAGCTGGAAGGCAGAACCGGACGGTCGAGGAGGAGGAGGAGAGAGAGCGAGGCGCAACAGGTAACGTTAGAGGACGAGATAGGAGGAATGGCTGCCACAAGGCTTTAGCTCTGGAGATTGGTGGTGTACCTGTGAATGCTGTGCCCCAGTGCCCACAGAAGAGGAATGCCTCTGTTGCAAGGAATGGGACCGGTTGCAGCCTTATATTCAAGGTCTGGATGTGACCGAGGACGAGACACCTCCACCTGGAGTAGTATCCAGCTGGGCTCTATCTAGAGCTCGCAAGATATATTTCAGCTGCGCTTTGGAAAGCAGCACTAGAGGGATAAACAAACATGGCAGCACACCGGTAAGGTAAGACAACATGTTTACATGTCGTTTTCTATATGTTCTCTGACATTTATCCTAACGATATGAGGCGGTCTTTGTGGAGAAAAAGCTTGTTTAGTGGACTAACTTTGCACTTGAAGGGATGCCCGTTCAATTACGTTTTAACAAGTCTGACGCTACGGCTGTATCTAGGCTATTGGCTAACATGCTAACTATTATCTGTATGTCAGTAGTCACTTGAAACAAATTTAGGACGACAGGAGACAGGTTGAAATAAACCAAAATTTCCCTTTAACTTCTTAATCTTTAGATGGAATTGGAAAAGAGAGGTATCTGGTTCCTTTTTAACTTTCACATTACTGCTGTATGATGATCAATAGTTAAACACTCACTGGCCATTTTATTAGGTAGACATGGTGAAGATGAGCTGCTGAAGTTCAAACTGAGCATCAGAATAATGAAGAAAGGTGATTGAAGTGACTTTGAACGTGGCATGGTTGTTGGTGCCAGTCGGGCTGCTCTGAGTATTTACTGGTATTTTCAGCACAACCATCTCTAGGATTTACAGAGGATGGTCCCAAAAAGACTCAGAAGACTCTCCAGTCTTGTCACCGATCTCAGGTTGTAAATGTGTATCTGGATCAGAGTTCCTGGCTGGTTTTGGTCCTCCACAGTCCTCTCCATCAGCTTCTGTTTTCATCTGTTCAGCTGAGCTGCTGGCTGGAGGCTCTGCCTCTCTGTTCTCCTCAGTTTGACTCCGATCAGTCTGTGAGGACTGACAACCAACACACGGATGGTTTCTGAGTTGATGAGGCCAAGTGAATCTCTGGTCACAAATATGGCAACGGAGAGGTTTCTCTCCTGTATGAGTTCGCATGTGTAACTTCAGAGTACTTGAATGAGAACATCTTTTCCCGCATTCAGAGCAGGTAAATGGTTTTTCTCCTGTATGAGTTCTACTATGTGTCTTTAGCGCTCCACGAGTATAAAAGCTCTTCCCACAGTCAGAGCAGCTGAATGGGTTTTCTCCTGTGTGAGATCTCATGTGTATCTTTACAGCTCCACTTTGAGAAAATCTCTTCCCACACTCAGAGCAGCTAAATGGTTTTTCTCCTGAGTGAGTTCTTCTGTGTGTCTTTACAGCTCCGCGAGTACAAAATCTCTTCCCACACTCAGAGCAGCTGAATGGTTTTTCTCCTGTATGAGATCTCATGTGTATTGTCACATCTCCACTTAAACGAAATCTCTTCCCACACTCAGAGCAGCCATATGGTTTTTCTCCTGTGTGAGTTGTCATGTGTGTCTTCAGAACTCCACTTCTACAAAATCTCTTCCCACATTCAGAGCAGCTAAATGGTTTTTCTCCTGTGTGAGTGCTCATGTGTGCGTTTCGGGTACTTAAGTGAGAAAATCTTTTCCCACACTCGGAGCAGCTGAATACTTTTTCTCCTGTATGATTGCTCATATGTGCTGTCAGCAGTGCTTTTTGACCAAATCCTTTCCCACACTCAGAGCAGCTAAATGGTTTTTCTCCTGTGTGAGTGCTCATGTGTGCCATCTGAGATCTTGAGTGGGAAAATCTTTTCCCACACTCAGAGCAGCTGAATGGTTTTTCCCCTGTATGATTGATCATATGTGATGTCAGCAGTACTTTTTGACTAAATCCTTTCCCACACTCAGAGCAGCTAAATGGTTTTTCTCCTGTATGTATTGTCATGTGTCTCTTAACATCTGTCAAGTGGCCAAATCTTTTCCCACACTCAGAGCAGCTAAATGGTTTTTCTCCTGTATGTGTCCTCATGTGTCTCTTAACATCTGCCTTTCGGCCAAATCTTTTCCCACACTCAGAGCAGCTAAATGGTCTCTCATCCATACTACATGTCAAATCACTGACAGAGACTTCATCATTTTTCAGAGAGTTTAAACCTGACTGAGGTTCTCTGGTCTCTGTCCAATCATCACTGTCATCAGTCTCAGGTTGTAAATGTGTATCTGGATCTGAGTTCCTGGCTGGTTCTGGTCCTCCACAGTCCTCTCCATCAGTTTCTGTTTCCACCTGTTCGGTGTGTCTTTGATGAAACTGTGAGGACTGAGGTTTCTCTTCATCATCTTCACTCTTCACATGAACAGGAGAGAATGTGAACTCCTGTTCCTCTTTAATGTGTGGAGGCTCTGGGTCCTCCTGGTCCACACTGGAGCTCCACTCCTGCTGCTCAGGGGGAACCTCTTCTTTAACCACCAACAGCTGCTGGACGTCTGCAGGAAACAGGAAACACACAGATGTTACAGAGAAATGTTGTCGTTCATTCACATCACAGCTCAAAAACTCCTTACTGAACTACTACAGATCTCTGAGCATCAAACAGCTTCACAGTGTTCACTCAGCTGTGTCAGAGTGAATGAGGTTGAGCTAAGCTTTCATTTTCACAGCAATCATTAACATCCATTGAGACTCTTGTCATGTTTGGAGGCTCCAGTGCAGCTCTTCATTTGTTCACACTTATGTGAATTATGTGAGAATGACTGTCAATGGGATGCCAGAGTTTGCTGTGAGTCAAGTTTGACAGCTTGCCCATTGAGATCTGTTTCCTCTTACACTGTCTTGGCCCAAACAGCAAACAAAGCATGCATTTTCAGGTAGCTACCCCCCCAGGTTCTGTGCTCAAACCACTGAAGTACTGCAGAAAGTGTTAAGGCGGAATTAATACTTCTGTGTTGAACCACTGTCCATGTTTGTGAGCTGAAACCATTTCCCTCAGTGGAAACAAAGCTTTTATTTACTTAATTATTTCTTATCTGTGAAATTAAACTGAAGGCAATAAAGTCTCCACAAAAACATTTTAACACTAGGACCGCCAGGATTACAGCGCCCCTCCAAGCGCAGCAACGGTCTGCCAGACTATCATATGTAACTTCATTGTTTATGCTGCCCGTGTGCTCAGAAGCACACAAAAAATGCATTTTTGAGTAATTTCCAAGAAGTTACGATAACACAAAAAAAATATTACAAACTATAGAATAGGACTGACATATAATGCTTTTTTTCTTTTTTTTTTCTTTTTGCTGCTGCGCCGTGTCTCCAGTTGAAAGTACTGATTTGCTAAATACACTCTACAATAATACACTAGATTAACTTTTGGTCTATAATATTGTTGGCTATATTACACATTTTAATAAAAAACAATGTAGAATAACACACACACACACACACACACGAATGAACATTGGAAGCGGTTCAGCCGCAGTCCCGCCAGCTGGCGCGGTCACTGTTGAGATTACATTTGTTTTTTATTATTATCAAAATGTTTTTTTTTAATTGACCGTATGAATGATTTTGTTTTCAAATAAATATTTGGAAACGAAAATGTATGCTTTGGTGTACTTTTACAGAGTTTTCCAATATGCATAGCCTACCTGTAGTAGTCGGAGGTATAAATGCTCAGAAGTCTAGTGTGTTTCATTTTTTGTCACTTATATGCTTCAGAAAACATGCAAGACACATTTTAAGGAAAAGACATAGTAAGAGAAGCTTGCAGGGTTTATCCAAACAGAGTTATTTTCATTATAAAAACCCAAATGGTCTGTCAGACCGTCGTGGTGGTTCTAGTGTTAAGTCCTGTGTGTGATTTGTCCTAGCATGAGCAGAGGAAATCTCTGCTATTCCCTAAGATAATTTACATAATGTAAAATGCCATAGGCTTGTGCTAAAAACATTAGCATGTTGTGTTTGTTGGAAAAATGTCGAGATAAAGACAAGTATTTGTCTGTGAATGCTGTGAGTTATAGTGAAGCTGATTTGTGTTCTTGTGTTTGCAACTGTTCCTACTAAGCCATGTTTAATGTGTTTTGAATCAACTAAACTTTATACCACTTCACAGAACCCAGACGGGAAATAGCTAACAACACCACAGAAGTTAACGACACCAGAAAAGCTAACGACACCAGAGAAGCTAACGGCACCACAGAAGCTAATGACACCACAGAAGCTAACGGCACCACAGAAGCTAACGACACCACAGAAGCTAACGACAACAGAGAAGCTAACGACAACAGAGAAGCTAACGGCACCACAGAAGCTAACGACGCCAGAGAAGCTAACTACATCACAGAAGCTAACGACGCCAGAGAAGCTAACTACACCACAGAAGCTAACAGCACCAGAAGAGCTAATGACACCAGAGAAGCTTCACATTTTAATTTAATTTTAATAACATTTATCACACAGCATTTTGTGGATAAATCAAATGTTCGCTTTAGTCTTAATAAACTCAGTACTGTTTTTCAACACATATATTGTTTTGTCTTCAGTCAATGTAGTTAGCACATATTGTTATTGCGCCATTGGTTTTGGTGCCCCAATAAATTTGTATTTATCAAAGGCCAAAGTGGCCTTGCCCTAAAAATGACTTAATTCCAGGCCTGGAATACCTACCTCAGAAAAATGTTGTTCAACATTTATATTATTGTTAAAAATGTTCAAAACCTGTAAGAGAAGACAAGAGACTAAAGTTTATTGTTTTTACAGTCAGTGTCAGGCTGTCAGCTGTTGCATTTAAGCTAAAAACAGGAGTGTTCCCTCTGTGCTGACCAGAGTTTATGTGCATTGTGTCTCTTGTATCAGGCACAATCATAGGTTTTGCTATTTAATGATATTTTTTTTATTATTTATTTATAATTGTTGTTACTTTTCCTTTTGTATCAGGAAATAAGCACAATAAATCTTTATGTTGAAAAAAATCGTGAGAGAATCGTGATCTCAATTATCAGCCAAAAAATCGTGATTCTCATTTTTCCAGAATCATGCAGCCCTACTACTAAGCCATGTTTAATGTGTGTTTAATGTGTTTTGAATCAACTAAATGTTATACCACTTCACAGAACCCCAACGGAAAATAGCTAACAACACCACAGAAGCTAACGGCACCAGAGAAGCTAACGACACCAGAGAAGCTAACGGCACCACAGAAGCTAACGACACCAGAGAAGCTAACGCTAACGACACCAGAGAAGCTAAGGAGGCACCAGAGAAGCTAACGACACCAGAGAAGCTAACGCTAACGACACCAGAGAAGCTAATATCACCAGAGAAGCTAACGGCACCAGAGAAGCTAATGGCACCAGAGAAGCTAACGACACCAGAGAAGCTAAGGAGGCACCAGAGAAGCTAGCGAGGCACCAGAGAAGCTAACGCTAACGACACCAGAGAAGCTAACCACACCAGAGAAGCTAATATCACCAGAGAAGCTAACGACACCAGAGTAGGTAACGTGGCTTTAAACGTCGACAGACTGAATATTTATTGAACAAAGCTGCAGTTATATTATTAATAATGAACTTGTAATGTTTAATGAACAAACCTGCTCTGTGTAACCGAAGCTGAGGGTTGAAAACAGCGTCCAGTAGTTTCCGTTGTCGCTCGTTCTCCTCTTTTAATCGACAAAGTTCCTCCTCGTACTCTGCTATCGTTCTTTCAAACAGCCCAAATATCTCTCCATCAGCCGCAGTTAGTCGCTGCTTCGCCAACGATCTCAGCATTTGAACTTTAGACATTTTCACACTTTAACAGTGGTGAACATATAAACACGAAGTGTTCAAGTGTCCTGTTTGAAGCTGAATGCCTTGGCGTCGGGTCGGGTTGGAATGAGCCAGGCATGCGCAGTCTTCCTCCCGACTTGCTCTGACGTATTACCAGAGATATTGGATGAAGCGAGATACCTAACTCAGCTCACTTCCTGATTCAGTGACGTCAGCACCACGCCCCCGTAGGAGACTTGAGGCAGCTCTGAATGTATTGTCGTCAATGAGGAAAATGAACGTGATCACAATTTATGGTTAATTCTTTAGCCCTGTAGTCACTAAAGTAAATATTGGGTTCATTTTCCACAAGCCACACATCTTACCAACATTCTGACGCTAAAGCTGCATTTTTCATCCGCACAGATCAAGAGAAGGTTAACTTTATTTGAGCCCTGTCCGTCTCAGAAAACAAGTTCTCGCGAGATCTCGTGATCTTGATAAACAGGCGGAATCTCCTTTCATCCAGTATCTCTGGTATTACCAAAGTGGACGGCGATAAAATCGCGAGAGCTGGGCGGCCGCAGTTTTCAAAGCGAGGTGCTGCAGGTGCTCTCCACCGACTGCACCGCCTGGCTCTCACCTGATCTAACAGCTGATTGGTTTAGATGTCTGATCTCGGCCCAATCCCAAACCGGCCCCTATCCCCTCGCCCTATTCACTCCCCCTCCGTTTGCGCGGTCACGCGGAGCTCCGCCATATTAAGGGCCGTCCCAAACCAATTATCGCTGAGTGCGAGTGGACTGCTCAGCCCTTAGATAGCGAGTGTGCATCAGTGCAGGCTTCTGATGAGCCCAGCAGGAAGCGCAACATCACAATGGAGGAAACAACGTACAAATGTAAGAGTTCCGTCTTTCTACTTTGTAAAATATTTTAGGTCAAACACACATATTTGTTTTCCTCACCCTTACTTTACAGTCTCAAACAAACTCACAGAATGTTTGGTGTCAAAAGATGAAAACCTCCACGTCCATATGCTTAAATGAACTATTTAAAACTGTCTAAAAAATTCCTCATCCAATTCTCATGATTTTT